CAGCACGTAATTTGCTCACCGCTTACCACTCACCCGTTCATCGCCGCTCACCACCCCCCTCACCGCTCACCCCCTCACCGCCGCTGCGTCTCTGGGACATTCCAAGGCGTCCTGTTACAGTGGGAGGAGCGGGAGAGGGACAGTGGCAGAAGAGTGGGAGTGTGTGTGTGTGTGATGTGTGTGTGATGTGTGTGTGTGTGAGTGTGTGTGTGATGTGTGTGTGAGTGTGTGTGTGTGATGTGTGTGTGATGTGTGTGTGTGATGTGTGTGTGTGTGATGTGTGTGTGTGTGATGTGTGTGTGTGATGTGTGTGTGTGTGATGTGTGTGTGTGTGCAGCAGGGAGCTGTGTGTGTGAAGAGTGGGATTGTGAGTGTGATGTGTGTGAGTGTGATGAGTGTGTGTGTGATGTGTGTGTGTGTGTTTGTGATGTGTGTGTGATGAGTGTGTGTGTGTGTTTGTGATGTGTGTGTGTTTGTGATGTGTGTGTGTGTGATGAGTGTGTGTGTGAGTGTGTGATGTGTGTGTGTGATGAGTGTGTGTGTGAGTGTGTGATGTGTGTGTGTGATGAGTGTGTGTGTGAGTGTGTGCAGCAGGGAGCTGTGTGTGTGAAGAGTGGGAGTGTGTGTGTGTGATGTGTGTGTGTGAGTGTGTGTGTGATGAGTGTGTGTGTGTGATGTGTGTGTGTGAGTGTGTGTGTGCAGCAGGGAGCTAGTTGTGTGTGAGTGTGTGTGAGTGTATGTGCAGCAGGGAGCTTTGTATGTGTGAAGAGTGGGAGTGTGTGTGTGTGAAGAGTGGGAGTGTGTTTGTGCAGCAGGGATCTGTGTGTGTGAAGAGTGGGAGTGTGTGTGTGTGTGCAGCAGGGAGCTGTGTGTGTATGTGAAGAGTGGGAGTGTGTGTGTGTTTGCAGCAGGGAGCTAGTTGTGTGTTGGTGCAGCAGCAGGGAACTGTGTGTATCAGGCAGCTACGTGTATACAGCAGTGCAGTGCGTGAATATGTGCAGCAGGTGCAATTCGTGCATCAGGCTGACGTGTGTAAGGGCAGCGTTAACGTAGCATTTGCAACTTGAATCATCAACGTCGTGTCCTCCAAGGCAGGCCGTGGGGCTGTAGGGACCCCGCTTACTCGTCCATAAATGACGTCACGCACCTAGGGGGGGGGGGGGGGCAGACATTTGTGACGATGTGTGACGAGGGGGGGGGGGGGGTTTGAGAAATGTGACATCACATCAAAATTCGCAACTTTAAATAAATATAGACAACACGTTCTGCTTAATTAAATAGACTTTTTAATAAATATTTTTTTCCTACAACATCAGAGTGCAGCGCCACATTAAATACGCACTACAATAACAATAGTTTAAAGCGAGATTTGAAGCATGTTTCATATATATTTTTGGGGGGGGGCAGAGCTTTGTGACGTCATATTTGAGGGGGGTGGGGGGTCTGACTTTTTGTGACGCCGTGTGACGAGCGGGCGGGCGGCGGGGGGTTAAAAAAAATCGTCCAAAATCACGTGACGTCATTTATGGACGGCCCCTTAACGAACCCATTTTCATACGAGACGTGGCCACGTTAAATCGAGCAAAATGCGAGCAATGTTCGTCCGTGAGCCAATGGCCACAGTTGGGTAATTTAAGATGTTGGTCATCGTGGTGGGGGGTTCTCATCGGGTTCCCACCGTGGTGTCATGGGCAGTGCTGTCACCAACTAGACTACGCTGGCCTCTCTCTCCGTGCACGATGAAGAAGAAGCCCCATTGCCCGAAACGTCACCAATTCATGTTTTTTTGTTCCGTTTAAGGCAGAAAAATAGCCACGCTGCTGTTGTTGACGAATGCTTGTTGTCGTTGTTGTTGTTGTTTGTGTACCACTTGGCAACGCGGAATAATAATTCGTCACAGTCGGAGGCTCTTGGCGCAGTGACCGAGTGAGGTGTGTACCGCGTGTGTGTGTGTGACGATTATCTCAGCCATATCCCCGGCCTCCTCTGGGTCGACTCAGCCTCAAATGGGTACCCGGTGCGATGTGTAAACATCGCCGCCGATGGGAGACAAAGACGGTCGGGCGTGTTGCTGGCCCCCCACACCCCCTCGTGTACCGTAACGTGCCTTTCGTTAGGTGCTGCTCGCTAACAGCACTTGCCCCATCAGTCCGCTAAGGCTATGTGGCAGGGGGCGGGAACTTTGCCTTTGTGCGTTCTGGCAAACTTATTTTATAGTCCATCGGCCCCACCCCTCCACAAGCCCCAGTGCTGAAATGTTGGTGAGCGCCGTTAGTCTCGCGTGACTGGGTGCAGAGCCGGGGATTTAACCGGCGCGACCGAAACACAACTGCCGTGGAGCCCCGGTGCCGGCTCGCGAGCCTCTCCCTCCTCCTCCTCCCCTCCCTTCCTCGTTCGCTCTCTGGCTCGCTCGCTCTGCCCCCCACCCCCCCCCATCAGTAGCATGGCAAAGTAACGACAGCGCGTGGCCACCCGGGTTTTCCGTGTCCGCCGCCAAGAGGCAAGCGGCTGGCTAATTGGACCGATCGTCAAACACGAAAAAAATAAACTTCGTGCGGTCCGTGGACTTGACCGGTGATCGGGTGGTGTGGTAGCCCCCTGGAGTAGTTTGGCCACAGGGATGAGCAGCCACAGCCAACGAGAGGCGATGGTGGTGATGTGGTGCGCCGTGCGTGGGAACGATTGTGGTTTTTTTTCTCTCTCTCTCTCTCGGACAGGCCCGGCTGAAACGAAGCCCCCTTTTTGACGGGGAGCGCTTTGTCGCCAGATGAGGCCACGCTCGCAGTGGATCACTGGAAGGCTTCAGGCCTGTTATCAACGGCTCTGAGACCACCCATCGTAGCGCGCGGAAACATTGGGGACAAACGAGACGTACTCAAGGACGAGGCTTTTAGCCTCGACGCAAATAATTACTGGTTTCATTATAACAGCAGAGGCAGGACTATAAGATCCTGCTGCTGACCTATAAGGCACTCAATCAAGGAGCGCCCCATCCGCTGCTGGTCTCTTAAACAAGGCCAAGGACTTACACTGACTTTAACATTTTATCTACAAAATGACACCTTGCCAATATTAACTATATTACCCTATTTGTATATTTTTTTTATTTTTAGATTGTATCTTATAGCTATTTTATATTCGATATTTATTCAATTTTATATGCTTTAGCCCCTTGGTGTTAGTTAGACTTTGAACCCTTATTACAGTAAGACTTGTTTACCACTTATTTAAGATTTTAGATTCCTATATGTTGAATGTATGCACCATCCTGCCAAAGTAAATTCCGTGTCTGTGTGAACTTTCATGGCGAATAAAACCCTTTCTGATTCTGAAAACCCCTTTCTGGCGAAATGTTAACTCCCTCGCCTGGTATACAGGAGGTTGTGGGTTCAATTGTGACCCTGACACCTGCTGCTGTATATTTGGAGTTTGTGTGTTCTCCACGTGGTCGCGTGGTGGAATTTTCTCCGGTTCCTTCGATTTTTTCCTCCACATTTAGAGACATACACTTTAGAGTATTTGACTGCTACGAATGTACACATAATGATAAGCCGCTTCGCTCAGCTCTCATTTGTCGCCAGGTCGCTTCTGATAAAAAAAACAGCCATACAGCTCAGTGGGCCTTACCTGGTAAAATAAAATTAAAAGTTTAATGATTTGCATCGTTTTTAGTTGTTTTTTTCCCAAGGACTCTGAGGTCAAGGCTCATACCCTGGGGCGATTGGGCTCGTGCTACTGCACAGCTCCCAAGCTTTGCGACGCTTTGACTTGGCTCATTAGACAATCAGAGTCGTTCGACATCGTTGCGTATGTCTTGAACACTCACATCTTTAAACTGGCCTTTGCCTTGCTTAACATATTGGTTGGGATCTACGGATCAAACGAGCATCATTATCGATGCAAATACTTATGATCTTCAGCACATACTCGGTACTGTTAAATACATTCCCTGGGTGATGACTTGGCCCGGCGATAGCGCGCACTCATCGCTCGCTGTGAAAGGTTCGCGGTTCGAATCGGGCAAGGCTGCCCTGGTTAATACGGTGGTGCGCGTTTTCACCGTAACGTGCGCCACGCGCCATCTGCTCGACGGTGGCGTCGTTCACACAAAGTGGGCCACTGCGTGCCGGCACCGGTGGCACCGCCGCGGTACGGGATGTAAAACGTTAAACCGTGAATGTTGCAGTTGGGATCGCCACGATGGCAAGGAAATGTTAACTCCCTCGCGTGGCATGCAGGAGGTCATGGGTTCAATCCTGACCCTGTCGCCTGCTGTGTATTTGGAGTTTGTAGTGTTTCCCTCTCATAATTATAATCATCACGGTGGCTAGGAGATGTTAACTCCCTCGCCTGGCAGGCAGGAGGTAATGGGTTCAATCCTGACCCTGTCCCCTGCTGTGTATTTGGAGTTTGTAGTGTTTCTCTCTCATTATAATCATCACGGTGGTTAGGAGATGTTAACTCCCTCGTCTGGTATACAGGAGGTCGTGGGTTCGATCCCGACCCTGTCCCCTGCTGTATATTTGGAGTTTGCAGTGTCTCTCTTCCGGTGGTCGCGTGGATTTTTCTCCGGGATCCTCCGTTTCTTCCCTCCACATTTAGAATCGACATCGCGCATTTATCGTGCCTGGCCGCTATAAATGCCCACGTGATGATAGGCCACCTCGTTGAGCTACGACTAGCGGCGTAGTGACGATGATGCTCGGCGGTCGCGTGCGCCGCCGATTGTGCCGTGACGTGTTCGTGGTTCTTTCTGGTAAAGTCAACGTAGATAGAAGACAAAAAGCGAAATTAAAAGCAAAAAAAAACCCCCACGACGTTTCGATCGAAACGTCGTGGGGGTTTTCGCACTTAATTTCGATTTTTTTTTAAATAGATTTTTGTTTTCTATCTACGCGACTTTACCGAAAGAACCAAGAATATCAATTCCTGCGGGCACGAAAGTTTCAAGTCAAAATTTCGTGCCGTGACGGTTCGCCCGCTGTGTCCGTGCCGCGCAGTGCCTGTGCGGCGGTGCGTCCCTGGAGGAGACGGAGCGGGCGCGAGCGCGATGGCGGCGGGAGGAACGCGACACGCTGCAGGACGACGAGGACATGCTCATGGACGCCTCCGGAGACGGTGAGGGGGTGGGGGCGAGGAGGGTGAGCGGAGTAAGGAGGACGAGGTGGGCGATGGGGGGAGACGCGCAGGCGGTGCAACTGCACCGGAAGGGCCCACGGGTCGAAGGAGCGCCAGGCGCCGAGATGTCAAGGAGGGCCCATTCTGATGGCCTGCACCAAGGCCCCTGCCAATCCCACGACCCCACTGTGACCCACAGACTCACACTCACATGGACACCCACAGACTCGCATAGAACAAATAGACTTTCCACAGGACCCATAGACTAACAGAGCGACCCATAGACTTACATAGTTAGGATCTACAGACTAACGTAGGACCCAGTGGTGCAGATATAAAGTGTGCAGGCGGTGTAACTGCATCGGGACCTCGTGGGCCGGATGGGCCCAAGTGTTGGGATTGGTGGGTGCTTGGACGATTTCAATGGTTGCGCCGGTGGCCCATGCCAACCACACTCGGGAGTTAGGGGGCATGGGTTGAACGAGGGGGGGGGGCAAAGGGGAGAGATTGGGACGTGCTCACACGGACGCAACGCACGAACCGAACACAAAGCACGGGCACGGTTTGACAGGGGTGGCGCCGATGTTGACGCCTGTGCCGCATAGCAGGCAAGGGCCCGGGTTCGCTCCCCGACTCGGGTGCCTGTGTGGGCTTCCTCCCGGTTCTCCGGTTCCCTCCTCCCACAATGCAATGGCTACTGGCCGTGACGGCATCCCATCGTTACGACACGCGACTCGTTTGGGAACACCACACAGCCAACATCGCTCCCCTACCCCACCCGACTCTGAAAACTTGGCAGGACAACTCCCTTGAGACTCGGTGAGGCTTTCGTGGGTAAACGGGCGTAACGTTAGCAGCAACACCAGCAGCAGCACAAGGGCCAGACACGCGCGACGCAGGGCCTCAGTCACAGACGCAGTGAGGATGGCCAGCAGCCACCTCTCTCAGACATAAGCACGCGCACAGACACGGCACACGCAAACCCCTGCTGGTACACGCACAATGACAACAAAGATCCCCCCCGCCCGTGTAGCCTTAACAGACCGTGAGGGCAAGTGCTGTTAGCGAGCAGCCAGCAGGGCACACGAGAGGGTGGGTGGTGAGCATCATGCCTGGCTGCCTTTGTCTCTCCAGTAGCGATGTTTACACATCGCACCGGGTACTCGATTAATGTTGAGCCGACCTAGGGGAGGCCCAGGACTAGTTCAGATGATCGTCGCTGGTGTTGGTGGCCTTGAGCTGAAATCGCAACTTGGGTCGGCAGGTTCCCAGCGCAGTGCGCTAACCACTCCACTGCCGCTCCCCACTCACACACATTCACTATTAGCACAGTTGGCTACGTACGGTGCGAAAGAAGTTCAACATACTTACATACATCCACGTACACACACACACACGCTCGTACACGCACATGGTGCTGAATCCAGCAAACACACACACACACGTTACAAATTCACGGGAAACTGATATCGTGAACATCGTCTTATTGTGAAAATTGATATCGCAGCCTCCTTAGTTCACACACACACGCACAAACGCAGACGTTCCCATGCTACGGGATCCATCTGTGCAGCAGCTGGCCACACACGGCCCCTGTGTGTTTGGCTCAACACACAGCTCAAGCTACAAATAATTGAATGGGTCCCACTGGGCCCTCCACTCCTGTCCAATTTCCTCCTCTTCGGAGCCCCTTTGGTTGCTGAAGTTGCGTTGCGCGCACACTCGATATGTTAGTCTATGGGTTTCTATGCTACTCCGTGGGTTCCTGTGATAATTATCTACGGCTCCTATGCTCGTCTATACGTCTCCGTGTTAATTTTTAGCGGGCCCATAGGTCGTACGTTAAAGTAGTCTGTGGGTCTCAGTGTGAGTCTCTGGATCTCAGTGTGACTCTATCGGTCTCAGTCTGAGTCATTGGGCTGAGTGTGAGTCTGTGGGTCTCTGTGTAAGTCTATGGGTCTCGGTGTGAGTCTGTGAGTCTCAGCGTGAGTCTATAGGTCTCAGTCTTAGGCTTTGGGTCTCATGTGAGTCTATGGCTGTCAGTGTGAGTCAATGGTCTCTTTGTTAATCTATGTGTCTCATTGTGAGTCTATGGGTATCATTGTGAGTCTATGGGTCTCATTGTGAGTCTATGAGTCCCATTGTGAGTCTATGGGTCTTATTGTGAGTCTATGGGTCTCATTGTGAGTCTATGGGTCTCATTGTGAGTATATGGGTCTCATTGTGAGTTTATGGGTCTCATTATTAGTCTATGGGTCTCATTGTGAGTCTATGGTTCTCATTGTGAGTCTATGGGTCTCATTGTGAGTCTATGGGTCTCATTGTGAGTTTATGGGTCTCATTGTGAGTCTATGGGTCTCATTGTGAGTCTATGGGACTCATTGTGAGTCTATGGGTCTCATTGTGAGTTTATGGGTCTCATTATTAGTCTATGGGTCTCATTGTGAGTCTATGGTTCTCATTGTGAGTCTATGGGTCTTATTGTGAGTCTATGGGTCTCATTGTGAGTCTATGGGTCTCATTGTGAGTCTATGGGTCTCATTGTGAGTCTATGGGTCTCATTGTGAGTCTATGGGTCTCATTGTGAGTCTATGGGTCTCATTGTGAGTCTATGGGTCTCATTGTGAGTCTATGAGTCTCATTGTGAGTCTATGGGTCTCATTGTGAGTCTATGGGTCTCATTGTGAGTCTATGGGTCTCATTGTGAGTCTATGGGTCTCATTGTTAGTCTATGGGTCCCATTGTGAGTCTATGGGTCTCATTATGAGTCTATGGGCCTCATTGTGAGTCTATGGGTCTCATTGTGAGTTTATGGGTCTCATTATTAGTCTATGGGTCTCATTGTGAGTCTATGGTTCTCATTGTGAGTGTATGGGTCTTATTGTGAGTCTATGGGTCTCATTGTGAGTCTATGGGTCTCATTGTGAGTCTATGGGTCTCATTGTGAGTCTATGGGTCTCATTGTGAGTCTATGGGTCTTATTGTGAGTCTATGGGTCTCATTGTGAGTCTATGGGTCTCATTGTGAGTCTATGGGTCTCATTATGAGTCTATGGGTCTCATTGTGAGTCTATGGGTCCCATTGTGAGTCTATGGGTCTCATTGTGAGTCTATGGGTCCCATTGTGAGTCTATGGGTCTCATTGTGAGTCTATGGGTCTCATTGTGAGTCTATGGGTCTCATTGTGAGTCTATGGGTCTCATTGTGAGTCTATGGGTCTCATTGTGAGTCTATGGGTCTCATTGTGAGTCTATGGGTCTCATTGTTAGTCTATGGGTCCCATTGTGAGTCTATGGGTCTCATTATGAGTCTATGGGCCTCATTGTGAGTCTATGGGTCCCATTGTGAGTCTATGGGTCTCATTGTGAGTCTACGGGTCTCGGTGTGAGTCATTGGGCTGAGTGTGAGTCTGTGGGTCTCAGTGTAAGTCTATGGGTCTCGGTGTGAGTCTGTGAGTCTCAGCGTGAGTCTATGGGTCTCAGTCTTAGGCTTTGGGTCTCATGTGAGTCTATGGCTATCAGTGTGAGTCAATGGTCTCTTTGTTAATCCATGGGTCTCATTGTGAGTCTATGGGTATCATTGTGAGTCTATGGGTCTTATTGTGAGTCTATGGGTCTCATTGTGAGTCTATGGGTCTCATTGTGAGTCTATGAGTCTCATTGTGAGTCTATGGGTCTCATTGTGACTCTATGGGTCTCATTGTGAGTTTATGGGTCTCATTGTGAGTCTATGGGTCTCATTGTGACTCTATGGGTCTCATTATGAGTCTATCGGTCTCATTGTGAGTCTATGGGTCTCATTGTGACTCTATGGGTCTCATTATGAGTCTATGGGTCCCATTGTTAGTCTATGGGTCTCATTGTGAGTCTATGCATCTCATTGTGAGTCTACGGGTCTCATTGTGAGTCTATGGGTCTCATTGTGAGTTTATCGGTCTCATTGTGAGTCTATGGGTCTCATTGTGAGTCTATGAGTCTCATTGTGAGTCTATGGGTCTCATTGTGAGTCTATGGGTCTCATTGTGAGTCTATGGGTCTCATTGTGAGTCTATGGGTCTCATTGTTAGTCTACGGGTCCCATTGTGAGTCTACGGCTCTCGGTGTGAGTCATTGGGCTGAGTGTGAGTCTGTGGGTCTCAGTGTAAGTCTATGGGTCTCGGTGTGAGTCTGTGAGTCTCAGCGTGAGTCTATGGGTCTCAGTCTTAGGCTTTGGGTCTCATGTGAGTCTATGGCTGTCAGTGTGAGTCAATGGTCTCTTTGTTAATCTATGGGTATCATTGTGAGTCTATGGGTCTCATTGTGAGTCTATGGGTCTCATTGTGAGTCTATGGGTCTCATTGTGAGTATATCGGTCTCATTGTGAGTCTATGCGTCTCATTGTGAGTCTATGGGTCTCATTGTGAGTCTACGGATCTCATTGTGAGTCTACGGATCTCATTATGAGTCTATGAGTCTCATTGTGAGTCTATGGGTCTCATTGTGAGTCTATGGGTCTTATTGTGAGTCTATGGGTCTCGTTGTCAGTCAATGGGTCTCATTGTGAGTCTATGGGTCTTATTGTGAGTCTATGGGTCTCATTGTGAGTCTATGGGTCTCATTGTGATTCTATGGGTCTCATTGTGAGTCTATGGGTCTCATTGTGAGTCTATGGGTCTCATTGTGAGTCTATGGGTCTCATTGTGATTCTATGGGTCTCATTGTGAGTCTATGGGTCTTATTGTGAGTCTATGGGTCCCATTGTTAGTCTATGGGTCTCATTGTGAGTCTATGGGTTGTTGCAGCGCCTGCACTCTCAAACAGCCACGCCACTGGCTGGGTCTGCGGGCAGGACAAGGATGGGTGGCTGGCTCAGGGACACGGGGAGATTAATCGCACATGGAGTGGGTTATGGGTTCATGTGTTGTGCATTTGTGTGTTTAACGACTCGGACTTAATGAGTTGTTGTTTATGTGTGTGTACGCGTGTGTGTCTTTATTGTGTCTGTGTGTGTGTCTGCGTCTGCGCGTGTGTGTATATATGTGCGTCCGTCTGTGTGTGTGTCTGTGTACGTGTCTGTGTGTCCTTGTGTCCGTGTGTGCCTGCACGTGTGTCTGTGTGCGCAGACTCGAGTGGGGAAGGAAGTGGTGACGAAAAGACATCAATGCCAGGTTCACGCGATGCACACAGATACTCAGTTGCCAGACACACACAAAGACAAAGATCCTCCGTATAGCCTTTAACGGACTATTGGGGCAAGTGCTGTTAGCGAGCACCTATCAAGGCTAACACGACGCACAAAGAGGCGAGTAGGCAATAACATCCCCGGTCGCCTTTGTTTCCCCAGTGGCGATGGTTACACACCACACCAGGTTCTAATTAAAAGGCTGAGGAAGCCCATTACCGGTTCAAATATCAGCCACTGCAATTGGTCGTGAGCATGAACGAAACTCTGGATACCGGGTTAGCAGCGCAGCGCGCCAACCACTGCGCCACCGCTCTCTTTGTCCCTGACGTACCCACACTTGAGCCCGGTTCACGAGCAGACGTTGAGCCCGGAGAGTGATCCCACGGGTGACCACCACGCATCGCGGCTGTTACAGGCGGAGGCCGTCGCCAGTTGTGGCGTGACGCGCGTGGCTGTGATTCACCGCTCACGACCAATGTAGCGGCGGAGAATATTCCAACCGGTCATTGGGCCTCCCCTAGGTAGGCTCGGCCTCAAATGACCAGCGGGTGCAGCGGTGCTGGGAAGCCACCCCCTCGTGTGCCGTGACGGCCTCCCATAGTAGGTTCTACTTGCTAACAGCACTTGCCCCATCAGCCCGTTGACGGCTATACGGGAGATCTTTTGTCTGTGTGCTTGCCACACGTTTGGTGAGTCCTGCTGGGGCGGTTGGAACCTCGGTGCCACTCCTCGAGTGTGAGTGTGAAAGAGAGTGTGAAAGTGAGAGAGTGTGAAAGTGAGGGAGAGTGTGAGCGTGGGGGAGAGTGTGAACGTGAGAGAGAGTGAGAGAGTGTGAAAGTGAGAGAATGTGAAAGTGAGAGAGTGTGAGCGTGAGGGAGAGTGTGAGCGTGGGGGAGAGAGAGAGTGTGAGCGTGAGAGAGTGTGAGCGTGGGGAGAGAGAGTTTGAAAGTGAGAGAGTGTGAGCGTGAGGGAGAGTGTGAGCGTGGAGGAGAGAGAGAGTGTGAGCGTGGAGGAGAGAGAGTGTGAAAGTGAGAGAGTGTGAGCGTGAGGGAGAGTGTGAGGGAGAGAGTGAGAGTGTGAGGGAGAGTGTGAGGTAGAGAGAGAGTGTGAAAGTGAGAGAGTGTGAGCGTGAGGGAGAGTGTGAGGGAGAGTGTGAGGGAGAGTGTGAGGGTGAGGGAGAGAGTGAGGGAGAGTGTGAGGGAGAGTGTGAGGGAGAGTGTGAGGGTGAGTGTGAGTGTGAGGGAGAGAGAGAGTGTGAAAGTGAGAGAGTGTGAGCGTGAGGGAGAGTGTGAGGGAGAGTGTGAGGGAGAGTGTGAGGGAGAGTGTGAGGGAGAGTGTGAGGGCGAGTGAGAGGGTGAGGGAGAGTGAGAGTGAGAGGGAGAGTGTGAGGGAGAGGGAGAGTGTGAGTGTAATGGAGAGTGTGAGGAAGAGTGTGAGGGAGAGAGTGTGAGGGAGAGTGTGAGGGAGAGTGGGGGAGAGAGTGAGGGAGAGAGAGAGTGTGAGGGAGAGTGTAATGGAGAGCGTGAGGGAGAGTGTGAGGGAGAGAGTGAGGGAGAGTGTGAGGGAGAGTGTGAGAGAGAGTGTGAGCATGCTCAGCGTTAACCCGCCACCCCCCCCCCCCCCACTCACGACACCACGGGGGGCGTAGGCGCTACAGAGTTCTGTGCACGTACGTACATTTAACTTCTTTCGCACCGTACGTAGCCAACCGTGCTAATCGGAGGTTGCGGGGTGGGGGAGGCGAGGAAGCACAACAAACACTTCTCAATGCACGGGTCTTCAATGGGGACGATCTCAAGGTGCGTAGCTCCAGTGGCTTCCGAACAGCGGACGGGAGAGCGTTCCCGACGGCCGCAGAAGCGCATGCGAAAGCTCGCGACGTCGTGACCCGCCGCCTCTTACTCGACGGCGAGCGGGAAGCCGCCGCTGCGAGGGCGACCCGGAGCTCGCGTGGCGATGGCGGTCGCCGTTCCCCGACGAGATCGTCGGCAACGCATCGCGATGAGGCGCGGCGCGGCGAGCGCCGCGCCTCATCGCGAAACTCCTTCGGCAACCGAACCGGAAGCCGATGCCGCTCGGCGAGCACCGGACGGACGCGGCCTGGACCTTGGGCGGTAGCCGCGAGGCCCCGCGAACACGGAGGGCGCCCGGCGGGGTCTGCCACCGCAGGCAGGCAGGCGGCGGCAGGACCTGCGGTCGCGCTAGTGGGGGGCCGGGGCGAGAGAGTTCTCGGGTCGTCGAGGATTTGTAATTTGGGTGACCCAGGCAGGTCGCGGCGATCACCATGGAGGGTAGGATTGTGGAGGAGGCTCGGTTTGGTGTCTGCGAGCCCGACCAGATGCCCGGCTCACCGAAATGACTTTGCTGTGCGCTCCACCGTAGCACGGTGCAAGTTGAGGGGTCTGCAGAGCTGGGGCACAAAGCAGAAGCAGCAGCAGCAGCAGGGATCTCGGGATCGTCACTGGGAGGGCGTCGTGGCCACCGCTGTTCCACGTCGATTCAGATCCAACACGCTGTCCGTAAACGATGAGAACACCCACCACCATCATCAGACTGGCAACGAGGGAGTGCGTAGTGCCGGCTTGGAAGCCAGACAGAGTTAACAACACGCAAAGGTGTGGGCGGGCGGGTGGGTGAGTGGGTGAGTGGGTAGGTGAGTGGGCGAGTGGGTGAGTGGGTGAGAGGGTGAGAGGGTGAGTGAGAGGGTCGGCGAGAGGGTGGGTAAGAGAGTGACTCGGGTGAGTGAGAGCGTGGGTAGGTGAGTGGGTGAGTGGGAGTGAGAGAGTGGGTGGGAGTGAGTGAGTGGGTGGGTGGGAGAGAGTTGGGTGAGTGGGTGGGAGTGAGTGGGTGAGTGAGTAGGTGAGTGGGTGAGTGAGTGGGTGAGTTGGTGAGTGGGTGAGTGAGTAGGTGAGTGGGTGAGTGAGTAGGTGAGTGGGTGGGTGGGAGTGAGTGGGTGGGAGTGAGGTGTGTGGGTGCGTGGGAGTGAGAGAGTGGGTGGGTGGGAGTGAGTGGGCGGGTGAGTGGGTGGGTGGGTGGGAGTGAGTGAGTGGGTGAGTGGGTAGGTGGGTGGTAGTGAGTGAGGGGGTGAGTGTGTGGGTGGGAGTGAGATGAGTGGGTGAGTGGGTGGGAGTGAGTGAGTGGGTGGGTAGGAGTGAGAGAGTGGATGGGAGTGAGTGAGTGGGTGGGAGTGAGTGGGTGGTTGGGAGAGAGTTGGGTGAGTGAGTGGGCGGGTGAGTGGGTGGGTGGGAGTGAGTGAGTGGGTGAGTGGGTAGGTGGGTGGTAGTGAGTGAGGGGGTGAGTGTGTGGGTGGGAGTGAGATGAGTAGGTGAGTAGGTGGGAGTGAGTGAGTGGGTGGGTGGGAGAGAGGTGGGTGAGTGGGTGGGAGTGAGTGGGTGAGTGGGTGAGTGAGTATGTCAGTGGGTGAGTGAGTAGGTGAGTGGGTGAGTGAGTGTGTGAGTGGGAGTGAGAGAGTGGGTGAGTGAGTGGGAGTGAGTGGGTGAGAGGGTGAATGAGTAGGTGAGTGGGTGAGTGAGTACGTGAGTGGGTGAGTGGGTAGGTAGGTGGTAGTGAGTGAGGGGATGAGTGTGTGGGTGGGAGTGAGATGAGTGAGTGAATGGGTGGGTAGGAGTGAGAGAGTTGGGTGGGTGGGAGTGAGTGAGTGGGTGAGTGGGTAGGTGGGTGGTAGTGAGTGAGGGGGTGAGTGTGTGGGTGGGAGTGAGATGAGTAGGTGAGTAGGTGGGAGTGAGTGAGTGGGTGGGTGGGAGAGAGGTGGGTGAGTGGGTGGGAGTGAGTGGGTGAGTGGGTGAGTGAGTATGTCAGTGGGTGAGTGAGTAGGTGAGTGGGTGAGTGAGTGTGTGAGTGGGAGTGAGAGAGTGGGTGAGTGAGTGGGAGTGAGTGGGTGAGAGGGTGAATGAGTAGGTGAGTGGGTGAGTGAGTACGTGAGTGGGTGAGTGGGTAGGTAGGTGGTAGTGAGTGAGGGGATGAGTGTGTGGGTGGGAGTGAGATGAGTGAGTGAATGGGTGGGTAGGAGTGAGAGAGTTGGGTGAGTGAGTGTTGAGAGAGTGGGTGAGTGGGTGGGAGTGAGTGGGTGGGAGTGAGAGAGTGGGTGAGTGGGTGGGAGTGAGTGAGTGGGTGGGAGTGAGAGAGTGGGTGAGTGGGTGGGAGTGAGTGGGTGGGAGTGAGAGAGTGGGTGAGTGGGTGGAAGTGAGTGAGTGGGTGGGAGTGAGAGAGTGGGTGAGTGGGTGGGAGTGAGTGGGTGGGAGTGAGAGAGTGGGTGAATGGGTGGGAGTGAGTGGGTGGGAGTGAGTGGGTGGGAGTGAGAGAGTGGGTGAATGGGTGGGTGAGTGAGCAAGGGGGATGAACGACCAGAAACTTGAGACCCGCGCCCTCCCTCCCCCGTGCACCGAGCTCAGCGACACGGGGGCCTCGTTCGATCGGCCATCAGCCAGGGGGCAATTAACGCGGCCGCGTGCCACCGCCGTGCGTGGGAGCCAATCGCGATCAGGGCCTGAGATCGACTCCTGGTCAAGGGTCGTCTGAGCTCAATATCATCATCATCATCATCACGATCATCATCATCATCATGACGATCATCATCACGATCATGATCATCATCACCCACGCCATAATCGTCATTGATTAAAAGCTGTCCGATGCGTTTTCGCGTTGTACAGCGCATTGTTTGGCGACGGTGTGTCCGACGTTTTGGCACAACCCGAAAACATCAGCGAGCTGAACAGCATACCAGCGATAACCTCCGCAGTAGTGACATCATAATCATCACCCAGCGCTGCCATCATCACCATCTCTGGACTCGACACATGTAGTGCTGCTCAGTGTAAAGTTAACCGTGATTTGGCTTTTGGGCAGATTGCTTCTGGCCATGAGAGTGTGGAGTTTCCAGCGATGAATCAGGACATCGCCGAATGCTCGCGAGGCCGTCCGCGCTGGCAGGGCGGGCGAGAGGGGCATCGGAGTGTCGGC